TGCATTAAAATACTTTGTGCACTATTTTATTAATAAAACTATTATGTAGAGTGTAATAGCCAATAATTCTTTTAATATTTATATTAAACCATTCATTACATAAAACAATTAAATTCTGTACTGTCAGTTGCTGCTAACTGATACAACTTGAATGTCTACTGTTATTCACTGATAATAGTATACAATGTTTCAAATGAATGCGAAAAATGCATGGCATATAACAGAACTAGTAAGAGGTAATAATTTTTAAAGATGCGGAAAAAACTACAAAACTGTGAACAACCTTCTGTAGATATAAAAAATCCACTTTAAGGGGGTGAAAAAAGTCATAATTAAAAATAAGATGTATTGTGCTACAAAATGTGATTATTTTGTATTTAGATCTAAAACTATTCGAAAAGAATATGCTGTTGCACTATCAAATAACATTACCAAGGGGAGAAAATCCATTAATAACTATGGTACAAATTTGATTACTCACACAATTAAAATACATGCATTCAAGTAATGTTTGTATTTTTATTATACTGTACCTGAAATAACAAAGAATTGTCCTGTTGTGGATTTAATTTTTTTATATATACCTTCTGGCTAATGCAATAGATGAAAGAGACAACACATTTTTCTTTGAACTTAGTTGAAAATTCCTGTAAACTTGTCATGGCTTTGGATTTATTTTAAATATTATATGCCTGCTGCAAATAATAATAAGCAAGAAGCAAGTTATAATTATTAATATTATGTTATAGATCATATTGCAGAGCTATAATATTTTTTTTCAATTCTAATTTTTGTATTTATCTGTATTATAATACAATGTACTATGCCAAAAATGGATTTTTATTATTAAATACGAGCATCTGCCTGTGGCAATGCAAGAATTTCTATTACTCTCCATCAAGATTTTCCAGAGACTGACAGATAGTCAAAGTTCCACTGTATCTTGTTTTTTCAACACGAGAGCTGAATTAAAAACTAAAATTTCAAAATCTAATTTAAAAATTATAAAATAAAACAGAAAACAACAAAAACAAACATAAAATATGGAATCTTTCAGATTTTATGTTATGCCCAAAGACTTTCAAAGTCATTCAAAGTAAAATACTGTTACACACTGTAACATCTTTGTGTTGCTATACTACCAACATAATAGCAATAAGAAATGTAAAGAAACCTCAAGCGTAAAATATCTATGCTTGAAGATGCACATGATGCTAATGGAATGCTTTGTAATCGTTGAGTTTCTTAATCAAAAATTCGTTAAAGTTTTACAAAATATAAAATAAATGATACAACAAATTCCAGATTCCAAATTTGGGCTTCCAGTACCCAAATTCAAGTGGAGGACTATGTTATTCAAAATTTGATGTCTCTAGGTACCGTTGTTTTTTCACAATGCAAGAAACACACACATGCAGATTTTTCATTACTTAATTTCTTTAAATATAATGCAATGCTCTAATATTTGTTGGCAACAATTTGAAAAGTGATTCAGAGTTTTATAGTGAACCAATGCAAAATGCCAAAACACAATTTAATAGTCCAGAATGCCCTTTGGGTTAATAATATTTATTTTTTGCATTTCGTAAATTAACAAAAGCATTAAAACTCTGTAAATATCATGTTTCTGTCCAGAAAATATTAAGATACATTGCCCACCATATCAATTATCCTTTTTTTCTTTTTATCATTCCGGATATAAAATTAACAGAGTGCATGTTAGAAAAAAATAAAAATGTTTACACTGGGAAGGGGGTTATGCTTGAAAATGAACAGCCCATGATAGATGTATATTTAGATGCATAATAATGTTTTTTTCTTTTTTCAAAAGTAAGAACCAAGTAAAGGAACAAATATTACAGAGAAAGGATGTAAAACATAAAATTCTCTATCCGAAAACTAAAAGTGCAATAACCTCAAAGAACTGAAACAATATGAACACTACAGCAAAGCTGGTAATCCTGATAATGGGTTAATTCCAAAAGAAAAGAATGAAAGGAAACAGGAAAAAGATCTAAGGAGAAGATTAAATGCAAAGAAGAGCATTTTACAAACTCTTTGGGGGGGGAGGAAACATGAATGCTAGAATGATGATGAACAAGCAGAATTCACCACCTGAAGTGTAAGAAGTAAAAAAAAAAAAAAAAAAAAGCAGTTATACTAAAGACTAACTACAGACAAAAATTAATAAGAAAAGCAGTAAACACGTAGCAGTAGAATGTTTTTTTTAATACAGTTATTGATTTGCCACCAGTGAAGATAATTATAGATTATTAAATGTATGTTAGCAGATACAGTAACAATACTTCCAGAGAAATTTCAGCGTCTAATGAAACCCATTTCTCTCATAATGATTTGATTAAAGCAGATGCAGTGTCAAAGGAGGGACTACTATTGAATAAAAGTCTTTATATTTTGATTTTTGATTGCAGTGAGTAACAGAAATATGAAAGAATAATTCACAAATAAAAGGGCTTAACAATTTATTTGAAAACAAACAATATACAATGCAATATTTTATACAGTATATGAAAAAGTCTAAAATATTATCTGTATAACTATTTCTAAGCTATGATAACCCACCAATAATAGTCGAAGCTATTCAATACATAAGCTGTATGACTAAAATATGCAACTTTGTAACAGGAATTTTAGAATAGAATATATTATTATTAATGCATTATAATTAATTGCAGTATTATTTAAAAGTACACTGCATAGCACAAAAAGTAAGTCGTTTTCACAAAAATCAAGAATGTTAAAGTTATTAATAAACAAACTAATTTACAGTTATTATAGATTAGACAATAGTATGATCTTTTCAACATAACTGGTGGCATTTAAAAAATTAATAAACATGTTTGGGAAGAATGATTTTAGCTTAAATATGACATTCAAGTATTTACAACAAAAAGGTGCTGATTAAAACTTTTATTGTAAAATGAATACCATGCACCACACAAATTATTAAGAATTAAGATAAATTGAAAATTTGCACTGTTGTTGGTGTTTTTTTCTCTTTCAAACAACTTGATAAATATTAAAACCAGTAACAATTAAAAATATTTTAACTTTTTGTTTCAAAAACTTTTCATAAAATAAATAAATAAAAGGAATAAAAGTTAAATGTCATGTAGTATTTTTGGTATAATTTTTACACAAAATTATGCAGAGTGAGCAATTATTCAGAAATCTATCGAATGTCAAATAGTTTTAAAATGTAATAATACATGAAATGCAATATACTGCAATTTATATACACTGTTAGTTACACAAAGAATGACAAATAACTTCAGTTCCCCTGAAGGGTTAAAGAGTATACATGATAAGTTTCACAACAGAAATATAACATCTGACATCTTAGTTAAGTTTTATTTTTGTGAACTGTTAATTACTTTTACAATTTACTTCTTGAGAGCTGCATAATTCACAAAACTGTAATATGCATTTAGGTATTGGGTTTAGGAATCAGTTGCCTGCTAACTGAGAAAGTTTTTGCAAAAAAATATTTTTACCAGAACAATAAAAAAATTTAGCTTCTATACATTTATAACATTATGTATAAAATCCCTATACTTAATTCATAAGTTTTATAATTTATTACTATTTCAAGATATTAATTTCAATGCATCACATATATGAATAATCTCAGAAAATATTTTCAAATAATATATATTTCCAATATTTGGCAGTTACATTATGTAATTTTTTATTTTCAAATTACATAATATTTTTAGGAACAAATTTACTACTTGGTATTTAAATTATGACAAGATGTATAAATTCTGAGTAAACAAGGACAATCAAGCATCTGTTACTAATCTAAATTTTTAGTAGGTGAACATAAATGACATTATGACAACAACAATAATAATACTTAAAAAAGGATGAATTTAGAAGAGAAGAAAGTTAATATGCACCGAATTACTAAATCTTCTTTAAAAAACTAACATCAAATGAATTTATGATTTTTTTCTTAAAAATATAAAATATATTTTTAATTTCCCAATTTGCCTCCTAAGAATACACAAAAGACCAAACATTATCTTGCTAATTACAATAAAGTTTCAAAGAATGCAGAATTTTATTGTTTTTGTAAATTATGTATTTATTAAAATAAATTTTTCATATTTTGAAAATCACAACAAAACACAGTTTTAACATACATATACTTTTCTCATATATACTTATTAAAAAATTTAATCATTATTATTAGAATACTTAACATTAGCAAACAAAATTTAATCAACAAAAAATGGTATGGATAAATAATCAGTTTTTAAAACACTACTGAAAATACAAAAAACAATTACTTTATTTGTATAAACAGGGGAAAATGTTTAAAATTTTTTTAATCCCTCCCACCCCCACAGAAAATTTAGGGGAAAAAAAAAAAAAAAGAAAAAAAAAAGAAAAAAAAATTAGAAGGAAAAACACTGTTATGTCCCCAAAACCTATGCAGAGACTCCACTTTTAATAATCTATTTAAAAAAAAAATTAACACAGAATTACTGAATCCCAATCTCCAGTCCCTAGAAATAGAAGCCCAATGTATTTTCATCCAGCAGATATTTTCTCTTAACAGACAAAATCCTTGATCCTGTCAATGTCTGTTAACAGGAGGTTAAACAAAATGTGTGTTTAATTTCACCTGTTTGCTAGAAAGTTTTAAATGGGCCCTAAATTGAAAACCACTGAGTAGTTCAAAATATTAGAGTTAACTTTAAAACCATATACAAAAAACAATGTTAAAAGCATGTAATTACTAAACTTCTCTCACCAGTAATACATACAATGTTATACAGATATATACAAATAAATGTTTGTGAAAATTAAAGAATTGCTTTCATTGAGTTACTTGACTTTCATGCACTACTGAAAATTACAGAGAAAAGAATAAAAAAATATTTTTTTTATAAATATATATATAAAAATAAGTAAATGTAAGCGGGAAAAACTTTGAAAAAAAGTTCTTCCTAGTTTTTAAAAAACTTTTTTAAAACTTTAAAAAGACTTTTTTTTCCCCCTGCTACAACTTAAAAGATTTTAATTCATTTATTTAATTTTGCATATATTTGCCAGTAAGAGAAATAAACCAAATGGTTAACAAAAATCTAGTATAAATAGTGATACTGATTATAGTTTCAGAGAACCAGAGATACAAAATTTTTACAAAGTATTGACTGTATACCAAAAACAACATTTTTTAATACTGAATTTTGAACTTCTGTATAATGTAATTAACATGCAAAATGTCTCCCCCGCTTGTTTACAAGCTTTACTTCATGACTCAAAATACAAACTAAAATATTTTGATTATTATCAGTTTCATTTTCATAAATAATTCAGGTACTTTATACAGTTTGAATAGCTCCTTTCACTTTACTGGTCTCAGAGCTGGAGCTCTGAGATTTAACTTTTGCTTCCTTTTCTGACTGTACAGGTTCAGAATTAAGTTCACTATTTACAGAATTATTTGAAGTTGATGGTTTTGGAGTACTTGAGAAATCTGGATGGAATTTTTCATCTGACTGATCAACAGCACAGCATGGCTTCACACATGCTTCAGTTGGACTTTGTACTGAGTCTGATGGCACGGATGTATCAGGTTGCAAAATTAATGGAACAGGCTTTGGAACTGAATCATTATTTCCTTGAGATTCAGCTGATTTATTTATTATCTCAGAAGCTTCAAGAGATGCTGAAAATCCTGCAAACAACTCATCATTTGATACAGAAGCACGATCTCGAGGCTTGGGAGCAAGAGGCTTTTCGCTCAGGCTTGTTGTTGAATTAGAAGTTTGACTAAAACCACATTGTTGATGAATATGGCAGAGACCAGGTGGTGCACTGATTCTTGCCTAAATAATCAATCAAATATTACCTTCAAGGTATTATTATCCACTACTATACTGAAACAAAGAAAATTTTATGAGATTTTATATGTTCTCCGGAAAAGTCTGTTTGCTATATTAGAATTACTGCACCTATTTTGCTGTCTGATATTAATGTCAATTGATAATGCACATGTAATCTGAATACAATCATTACCTTTACAATTATACAATTGTGATACTTACATTATCTCTGACATGCAAAGATATTCATACAGATTAAAGTGCAAAAAGATGGATGATTTGGTTATTTATCAAAAAGCATATGAGAGCCATCTCCATATCAGAAGATGCCTTCAGGGAGGATCTTCTAGAGAAACTAACTCGTATTCATATTAAATATGAGGCTAACCATGAAACCTTAAGCAGCTAGCCATTTATTAGGAATTGGACCTGAGATTAACTATCAGTGTTCAAAGATCTAATTCGGCCACTTGTGAGTCATATAAAGATGGAACAATACGATAAACTAATGAGTAAAAGTTGTAAATATAAAGTCTTACATAGAAACCCTTAACTGGCAAAATTTAAAACTTTGAAAAATATAAGAATAAAATAGGCAGAACTAATATTTATACATTATAAAAAACTATTAACAAGTAAATTCTGTTCTAGTAATCAATAACTAATGCATTTCTTGAAGAATATAACAAACTTTACTATCAATATGTAACAAAGGAAGATGCTAAAAAATATACTTTTAATTAAAACAACATTAGGTTTCTGGAGAGAAATTATCTACAAGAAGTTTGTAAGTATTCAAATAAATTTAAGAAAACATCATACCTCAATAAAATTCAGATTAGATCTTTCCTCACTCATTACGTAACTGAAAATTTTAAAGGTTTTTATCTGTTAGGGAAGTTAGACAGACAGCAATGGAGGGGAGGGGAAAAACAAATAAAATAAAGCAAAAAAATTATTATTATATTAGGAAAACTGTTGACTGTGAATACTGTTCTAGCAATTGGTAACAAGTGCAATCACCGAGGGAGGGGGAACCCCGAATATTTCAATATATACGGAACAACCTATATTTAGAAAGGGGAGGGGGAAATTAAATGCAACTAAAATTCCCTTCGAGATCTGGAAGTAGAGTAAAGGAGGAATTATTCTTCCAAACCATTACATACAACAAAATATAGACCAGAATTGTTGCTCATTACCTCTATTCGGTATATTCCATTATCTGTAAACTCAGTTCTACAGAAATCAACTTATGAATAGAAGACATACAAGTCTCTTAATATTTTAATATAGCAGTCAAAAGTTTGCTTTTATACCTCTTAACATCATATCCTTAAGCATAATGAATAGCATACAGTCATTTGCATTATATCACAATACAGTTATCATTACATTTATATCATTACAGTTCCTTCTGCACAAAGTTCCACCTTGCACTTGACATCTCAGAACATACTTATAATTGATATTTAAAATTTCAGAATATATTTATAATTGATATTTAAAATGCAACAAGTCTGCAATATAAAAAGCACACCCATACATTACTATTGAATCCATCAACGATGTTTTTTGACCAAAATTTCCACACAGTTTTATGGATCAAGGAGGCAAATCAGCATTTTCTTAAGCCCCCCCCCAAAAAGTACTAAATTGCCTGAACAGAACTTTTCATTCATAATGCTGAATGAGAAACACATGATTTTGTAAAATAACTGAACTGCTATTTTACTCCTGCCTGCTTACAAAGAAAATCAAGAGACAAACTTTCCTTGATACCTAGCTTTAAATCTTTAAAATCTGGACAATGTGTATTAAGGCATTGATAAATATATCCCTAGACCTGATATATCATCATAATTTGTATTTAATCATTTTAGAGATATTATGAATCCTATCCAACTTTGATCTTTCTATGCCAACATTTTATTAACAATAACATCTAATTTCTTGAATTCAATAAGCAATGGAGACTTTTCAAGCATCATGGCCATTCAAAAATATTATTAGAAGATTAAGTACATGTTATTTAAAAACAGCAAGTGATGTTTAAAAACTGCAAATAGCAAATTAATATATGTTCTAATTTGTATGCTGTACAAAATAAAAGGAGGAGGATTCTTCCACTGTAACAATTGTACACAGATTCTTTCACACATCACAGAAAACTCAAACATTAGATAGGGCAAGTTAAGCCAAGAACACATGGGAAGCTAAAGCAACCAAATTTCTCTTCTTTTCTTGTATTTAGAAAATGAATGGGTGTATTTTTATTTAATTCAACACCACATTTCCAATCTACTTTACTTACCACTTCATGTTCACTTGTTTTCTATGTGTAGTGTATGTGGGTTTGCTAACATTTATAATATACGATCTAAATTGGATCTTAGTTTTCATTTTTTACTTCAGTTTCAGATGAATTGAAAAATAAAATTAAAACAGATAATTTCAAAGAAATTTTTAAAAGTTCCTAATTCTAAATGCTTTAATTAGTCATAAAATATCATAATAATAGCTTTAATTAATCATAAAATATCATAGTTTAACATTTATAGCTATTTAGATTACTGTTTTGGAAAAAGAAAATACAAAATAATCCGCTTTAAAAATTTAAACCAATGAATTCTCAACTACAACTTAATTTTTGATTGACTCCCAGAATACCATAAAATGCAGTTTTCCAAAAGAACATTAATTTATTCTCCATTGTTTGTGAGTACTGATAAACAGTTTTGAGGTGGACAAGTTTTCAAAATGTGCTATTTTGTAAAATTTCAAAATGTGGAATTTAATGAAAAAAATTACATATAGAATAATACTATATGCAATCATTATATTCACAATTCATTAAAAAGACAAAGACTTATACAGCCTCAGCTATCACAATAAACTTTCATTCAGCACCTTATATCAATAAAATCGAATTAGAAAATATTTTATCAGATTTTTAAGATTAATTTTTTTTTAAATTTAAAAAAAGAATGTTTTAATGTTATTTACTAGTCACTGGTTTGGCAGTGACAGTTCAAAGCATTACTATTTTAAAGTACCTGAGTTAGACCTGATGAACTCCGCCTTCTGATACTAGGACTCCCATGACGTGAACAATGAATTCTTGATAAATCTTCGAGTGGGATTTGTTCAGAACTACCACCTGCATGCTGCCTGGGAGAAGATTCTCTTGAGCGAGAACCATGTCTTCGAGGAGATGATGGACTACTACTTGTACGCTTCCGCTCTGTAGCCCTTAAAGACTTTTCTCCTCCATCAGAGGTAGTAGAGATATGATTTGCCTCAGAATGCTTCAGAATAGTAGCATGTCCAGGCACTCTTGCAGATGTAGGAAGCAAAGGACGATGCCTCGCATGGCTTGATGAAACAGCCCTTCCTCGGAGACCAGTATCCTGAGACTGACTGCGATGCATCACTTAAATTAATAAAGTGAACATGAGATACTTAGTTACTAGCTTTATAATAACAATTAATAAACAGAGCTAAAAAATCAGGAACTAGCATAATAAGAATAATAAAATAAATTGATAATACAATAGCATTTACTACTCTAAAGAATTAAGCAATACACACAGACGGTTAATAAACAAAATTCAGTGTATAAAACCCCAGCTGTAACTATTAATGCATGCAAGTAAAATTATGACTTTACATCTTGTATGAAATAAAATTATTGTAAATAATTATGTATTTAAAATAACTTGCTATTTTTAATTATTAATATTTTAAAATTGCTATTTTAAAATATGTTTTTTTGTGCTTTAATATGAATTTATTAAACACTAAATTTATCTTTTGCAGTTACAATCTTAAAGTACAGCCACTGTTTAAGTTCCCACATATTACATTTTAATTATTCTCAATATAAAAACCACAACATAATAACAAACATTAATATTATTAAATTTAACTATGGAAAAAAAAATATTAGCAATTTTCTTAGATGTTTATGGGTAGAGGCCTTTATAAACTCTGTTATAAAATGGCTCATGCATCCTTTGGTTAAGAAATGATACTATAATGCTTTAAGATAAATGGTCTTATGCTATCAAAAAGTAGCATGGTCAGCCTTCTGGTGTAACAATAACAATGAATCATGGTCCACTGACTTCTGGTAAGCTTTGACAAGGCTGACTTGACATTTATTTTGTAAACCACTACCAAATGTGAATACAGGAAATGGTCTTGTGTGTGATTTTATAACTATTGTTCCATTTCATCCTACTGCTGTTTTATGGGATTAAGACCATGATTTAAAAGTTCCATGTCGACACAATGTGATGGAGTTTTAAGCGTTAGATGGGGGGGGGAATCCAAGTCTTAATATTATAATACCTCATTTTTTCATGTATTGCCCCCTATTTTACTAATTTTATCATACTAAAAACAAGAGGGAAAAATTATATGAATAATTTAATTTCCAAAAGATACAGTTAAAGTGAGAACATAACAAATGAAAAGAATTCATTGATAAACTAACTGAAATTATCACAATGTTATTTATTTAAAAGAAAACCTATACTATTCCAATAAGAAGAATATATAACAGCATTAACTTTACAATATCTAGTAAGAAATCTTCATTTCTATTTCTCTTTATCTTGAATCCTGTTAATGTAATCAATACTATTTTTGTTGTCCACAGCTATTTCCTAATCCTCAATTATCCAGTGCTGCTGAAACTGCTATTTCTGCCATCTGCCATGGCTTGCAATTGTCACTCTGCAACATGTCATTTGCCTGACAACTCAGTTGCTTAATGGGGTAAGTTTGCTCAACAGGTTACTTTTTTTTAATTCACATTCAAGATATACTCATACTTTATAATGATTTGCCATTGATTATGAAATTATTATATTTCTTATAAATGACACTAAATATATATGCCATGACATATAAAGATTAGTGCAGGAAACTAATTCATCGACAATTAAAACTTGAAATTGCTTATAATTAAAAGATACATTTATAATTAATTAATTTACTTATCTTCATTAAAATAGTAATTCTAAAATAATAAATAATAATAAATTGATTACAATATAAACAACATTAATTAACTTCCAATCACAATGATAAATGCAATCATAAAATATTCTAGTTATATTAGAAAAGGCGAATGTGTGTGTCATGGATGCAATGTTTATATTTGCAGAGTGTTCTGTGTTGTCAGACTTTCCTTAGTATTTGCTATACTATATATATTTGGGATGTAAACTGATGAAAGCACAGCGTGTTTCAAAATTCCGGGAATACTTTAAAAAGAGTCCAAGAAAATCTATACACAGAGCTTAGAATGAATTAGAAATATTAACAACTGTGTGGCATATTTTACGAACTAATATAACAGAGTAAAACAATTTAACAGAGATTGTTGAGCAGCCAAATATTACAATTCTCTCCTTGTATTTGAAGAGGTAACATCAACAATAACCAGTCAAAAAATTTAGTTCTCTCTGTATACTGGATGAGTTGTCATCGATATTAACACATCAAAAAAATTATTTGAGACATGATTGGGGACTAAAAACAAGGACTGAATGTTGGACAGGACACAAATATATTATTAGTCATTTTAATTTAAAGCGATTTGTTCAAGAATTAGAGCATACTAATTTTATTAGAAGCAGTTATAAAAATCCAAACTTACTGCTTTGAATCACATTAGATATCAACTATACAAACGATTTTATTTAAAGATGACACTAGATGTTAGTGTGATTTTCCAGTGATACAAAATATAATGATTAAATTTTTAATTTTAATTCAAAAAATGTTATTTATTAATACAGTCAAAAGTCTTTAATCCGGACTTGTAGGGACTTCAGCGATTCCGGATTATCAGTTTTTCCGGATTATAGATCATCAATTTAAATCTGGTAAGATAGCATGCAGAAATTATAAAATTAAAAATATGAAACCGTAATTTATGAAATAAAGAGCAATTATGATCTAAAGGGTATCAAAATTTACAAAAAAAAGCTTAATATTTATTTGCTTACTTTATTAAACATTTCTTTCAACGTGCGCATGCGTAAAGCACACATTACGCATAGTCGAAATTAGAAAATTGCAACCAGAAAACTATTCGATGTGTATTCGTGATATTTAAAATAGGAATTTGATTTAAATCATATCAAAGACGGAGTACATCGAGATGAAATACTACATTTAGTAAGGAATTATAAACCGAATAAAATAAAAAAATCTGCTCTGAAGATAAGGATACTGCTGACAGATCAAATTCCAGTTCATTGCGCACCATTAGATATTAGTTCATTGCCATTAGATAATTTTAGCCTAGCTTATACCGTCCATTATACATTAAACGCACATGCGTAAATGTATTATGCGCATGCGTAAACACATATGCGCATGCATAAACACATTAATGCATTTACGCATGCGCAGAAAGTTTGTAGCTTTGAGGATCATTCCGAATTATGGACGTCCGGATTAAAGACTTTTGACTATATACAGTAGAATTCTAGAAATCCGCAAAGCTTGGGAACCAGAGGTTGTGTGGAATTTTGTGGATTTCTGGACAGAAAAGATAAAGCATAATATTCCGACTAAAAGTGCAAAATGAATAAGATATGAATGATTAGATACATTTAAGTAAATTATTATATACATTATTGCAATAATTTATTATATGCATTAAATTGTTATTACACATATAAAATGATTATATTATTCATTGTATTATATGTACACAGCATCGAGGTTTGCCGATTTCGCTTCATGCAAAGATTTCCGGTTTCGGATTTGGGTGTTAGAATCACTGTTGCTGTAAAATTTCAACAGCTTTTCTTTATTTTTCTGTACATCATACACAATCGTGTCGGAATTCCATACCATTCTGCTATAAATCGAGGATTAGCACCTGCTTCCATCTTTTGCAGAATTTGCACTTTTTGCGTTACCATCAATGCAACGTGTTTACGTTTTTCAACGTTGCAAGCAGTCAAATCACGAGTGCGTTTCTTATCTGTCATTGTATTAAAAAGGGCTGAAATTAAAAATATTCTTAATTTATCCACAAAATACACGGATAAAAAATAGGCAGCACTAAACAATCTCGTGAAATGAAATAACAAAGCTCAGAAAATACAACAATGTGAATTGTAAACTTGTCACTTATTTTTTTTTTTTAACTTTTATATATCAATAATTTGGTATTTCCGTTTTGACTCATTATTATTCGTTAAGTATTTTTTTCTTCGATATTTCATACTCAATGTTGCGGTTTCCGGAACCTATAAAACTGAATGTTTATATTCCGAAAGGCAACGTGGATTTCAGGAGTTGGCGGATTTTCGGTATTTCACTGTATTGCCATTTTCTATTTAGTTTTCACATTTCATCAATATATCTGCTTCTAAATTTTCCTGTGCAAGGATACTGTTTAATCTTTCACACATTCTAATTTTGAAAATGACCTTTCACAAATTACTTAAGTTTTGGTACCATGCCAAAGAAAGTGTTGGATATACTTCTTGATACATGTTATATATGACTGTATAGCAACATCGTGGACAATTTTTACAGCTTTTACATATGAGGTGTGACACAAAAAAACACGAGACTGGCCTAATAAATCATTGTAATTAGAGAATCAGTTCTCCATGACATTATCACCTTCAAAGTAATCACCTTCAGCATTCACACACTTCTGCATTCGGTGCTGCCATTGCTGCTAATAGTTCTGGAACGAGGTTTTTGGAAGGCCCTTCAGGAGATTCTCTGTTTTTGCCTGAACCTCTTCATTTGAGGTAAAAATCGCTCCCTTTAAGCAAGGTACAAACTGTTGTATGTTAGGTTGCACAGTTTTCGATGAGTCATATCATTCTTAACTTGGATGCAAATGAAATTTGTTACAACGTTGAACTTAGTCTTTTATATTTGTTGTCAGTAATTAAGACATTTTGAAACGCATATGGAACAATAAAAATTTTTTAAAAATATATTAACACAAAAATGAAAAGGGAACTCGGGTACATTTATCGAGAGCCATAAATAATCCTTCAAAGAGCTGCATGTGGCTCGCAAGCTGCAGGTTGGCCACCCCTGTCATATAGTATAAGAAAATAACCACTAGCACAAAATCATTTAAAATTTTAGAAGAACTTGCTTTCTGAAAGCCTTGACGAAGGGGATAAATATGTGAATATTTACAAAATTTTCAGAATCTTATGCTAATAAACTAAGAGGGGGGAATAAGACCATGCAAAGCAGAAAATATACAAATCAGTACGGCATTTATGTCAGAGGCAAATAGTCTCAAACATTAAGATATATATTTGACTTAATCAATCCTAGTCCGATGAGCTGAGTCTCATCTATGAAAAATACTCTCATGTGATTACGAGCCTAGTGACATAACAATCCTTACGAAGTTGTACATTAACACTT